GCTGTTCATTATGGCCATTCAGATGAAAAGTATTTTGTTTAAGAAAATTGGTTTGATCCAAGAATTATGATTATTTTGTATGTGTCCTTCCTCACCAATAGTGTACTTCTTGTTTATTATAGGATTCCTTCAAGCAAGAATTAACTTTCAGTAGCAAACTCATTGAAACTGTTCAAAATAAGCTACTTTTCTCTTCCTGTTTCAAAAGAAGATATCAGAATCACAAATTTAAGATGACGGAGTAGTGTACAGGTACCCACACCCCCACCCCACAAGCAGGAGACTACATGGTCCAAGGTATATCTCCTGTTTTAGAGGCCTTATCACTGCTGAATGGATTCCTCTAACAAAGAAGTACAAGACAGGAGCTCACTTACTTGGTAGAGATATGATTCATTTTGAATAATTTACATTGGGTGGCTATTCTTGTGCAAACTAGAGGATGAATATTAAATGATAAAAGTGATCATTTTTGCCTTATGGAAGGACATTGCTGTGAATTCAGCCATAAACTTCACTCTGCAGCGTATTAGTAAATAACAGTAACAGAAAATGTTGGAAATAGAGCATGCATAAGTAGCTCTTGTTTTTTTATTCATTTTTTGCTCCTGGACAGGGACGTGAACCCTGGGCCCTATATAAGCAGCTGTATAAGACTGTATAAGTAACGCTTATGTTAAATCAGATTCTTCCAGTGCTTAAGCCAGGCATTCATCTTTGAAACTGCGATAGCTCCTTTTGGAACATGATCAAAAAGCTGTGATTGAAAAAAGAGAAACAAACGCAAAACAACTACTGACAATACATATAGTTGTTAAAAATAGGAGATGGTGGGAATTCCCTGACGGTCCAGCGGTTAGGACTCTGTGCTTTCACTGTGGGCCTTGGTTCAATCCCTGGGCAGAGAACGATGATCCAGAACATATGATCCAGCATATGAACATGTGATGCAGCGTGGCAAACAAACTAAACACACACAAAAACACATGCATATAAAAAAAACAAAAAACAGGAAATGTGACAGTATTTTCTTTTTTTAGTCTTGAGAATTTGATTGTTAAGTTCCTATAAATATAGCAGATCTTTACAGTAGTGATTTGAGAATCTTCCATAAGAACTAAGAAAACAGGATAGTGTTATGCCTTCACTCCAGGCATGCGGTCAGAAAGGAGATAAAATTAAAAGAAGGAAAAGTAGTATAAATCCAAAAGTTCCTATTCCTAAACACAGAATGGAAAGGGACACAACTTTCTCCCTTTTTCCCTCCTTCCTTTCTTTTTTTTTTTCCTAGACCAACTACTGATTAGCTTAAGAGCATTTAAAGGTCCACTTCTTAATTTCTTCCTTTTCAGGGTAAACATGACAAACCAATATAACATTCTCCCCAAATATTTAATCATTTTTATTGTTCTCTGGACCCTAATCAGTTTCTCCACACATTTTACAATTGATGCACTTAAATAGATTCAAACATTTAAGGAGTGATATACTGGTTGGTGGCATTTGATGATGAAGAACAGCCATCCTGAGGTGCTCATATGGAGGTTTTGCTGATCTGGTCCTTTCATGAGGAAGCAACTTGGGTATTTGTTCTCATAAAAATAAAGCTTCCAAATTAAGAGGAAGCAGTGATGTTTCCTTCTCTGACCATGCCTTAGGTTTATGATCTAAATGCAAAATAAATAGTATCTGGCAAAACATGGTTTGATCTGATGATTGGCTGGAAAATACCTCACATAGAAAGAAAGTACAGTGCCTCCCATAACAAGCTGGTTACTCAATGAAATATTTGTGGGCATGTTGGCCGATTAAAAACACAAGGGGAAAAAATCAAAATATATCCTTGATAGTATTGATAAATAGCATAATTGGACTATCGGCCCAGATTATGAAAGGGTAAGGAAGCAGTGTATAAAAGTCAGCTCCTGTAATGCAGGAGTCTCAGGTTCAATCTCTGAATCTGGAAGATCCCCTGGAGAAGAGAATGGATACCTACTCCAGTATTCTTGCCTGGAGAAGTAATGGACAGAGGAGTCTGGCAGACTACAGCCCATGTGGTCACAGAGTCAGACATAACTGGGTGACTAACACTTTCACAACTGAAAGGAGCATTTCTCTTTCATGATTTGTGACAGTCTTCCTGTGATTATATGAGAGGGTTGTGATGTACTTTACAGAGCAGTGAGCCCTAAGAAATGAGGCATCATCTTTAACCCCTCATTGTGGGTTTCCACCAGATTTTGTTGTCTTTGACAGTGTGAATAGCCTCAGGGGAACTGAAAAAAAGACATGCATAGGACATGATATTTTTTCTCTCCTTTTGTGTAAGACTGTCTGATGCAAAATAATTCCCCAAGCATTTTCTTCTCATTTGCAAGGAGGCCAGTGGGAGAAATTATAGATGGGTTGAAAGTCACTCTACATCTGACTGCTCCCTACCACCTAGAAGGACACCTCTAGGTCTCAAGCCACACCTTTGTATAGCTCTGATGAAGAATTTGCATGGGGGAAACTTTCTGCAGTTTAACTTAATTGGCTTGTACCTAAGTAGGGTGAATACAAAGATACTCCTTAAACAGTAATTAGAACCTTTTCTCTAGGAAGATTTAGTACTACAAGAACCTGATTATTATGCAGTCCTAATGTATAGACTTAAAAGAGGCTTCATCTGAGTAGCTGGCCCACATGCTAGACAAACTTTACGGGAAGTTTCAGATGGGTACCATAAGGGCAGATGTCATAGAAAGCTTTATTTTTGACTTAGTAATATGATTAATGCCAACCAGTTATTAATATCATTACCATTTGGCTGATAACCAGTTAATAAGGATATTGCTCAATCGCTTCTTCTGTCATAGCTATCCAATAGTTGGAAAAATGGAAAATTTTTTCAAGAGAGCGAGTTGAAATTTTGTATAATTTCTCACTCATCTAATTAAAATGTTCCATTTTAATCATTTAATCATTTTCAGGGTTATGTTTTTTTAGAAGCTGGTAATCTAAATCTTAATAGATCTTAGAACATATTTGACTAAAACAGTTGAATTGCAGACTTCACCACACAGTAAATCCATTTTTTTTATCTTTCAGTAGAATCTGACTTTATATAGAAATTTCATATGTACTTGTTTGTAATGATTTTTCTTTTTTTTTTTTTAATTTGTTTTTTCATTTATTTTTATTAGTTGGAGGCTAATTACTTTACATCATTGCAGTGGTTTTTGTCATACATGAAATGTAATGATTTTTCATGATTACTGTTATAACTTTCTTTTTTCTTAAAATAATGTATCCATATTAAAAAAGAAAATTACTTAACCAGAAAAGCAAGTAAAAATTACTCATAATTCCATTACCCAGACAAATCTCTGTTAACCTTTTTGTTGTATATCCTGCCAATCTTTTTCTCCTTGTTTGTATGTCATCATTAAATTTTTTTGTTTTATTTATTATAAGAAAAGATATATTATTCCATACATGTTCTATGGATATTTTATGTTATTAGGTCCTCTAGAATCCAATTTTATTATCTACAAAGGATTCTCTCATATTTCAATGTAGCAGCTTGGTTACTTGTATGTTTCCTCTGTTCCCTTTGCATTTATATGGTATACACTTCATGCTTTTGTACAAGTTAGTTTGTTGGAATTGTTTTTAACTTAGGCTGTATTGGAGCCAGAGCATTGAACAAAGGAACACAATTAAGGTGTTGTTCACATCAGGGCTTCATCACATCACTGAGGCTAATGTTAACTGCACTAATTCATCTGAATGACCCTGGATCACCATATGTTAGAATTGGGGGAAATTAGTGAACATATGAGAAAAATATCTTTTAGAAATGACACCAATAAGAAGTATTATAAATAATTCTGCCTTCTAGGAAAATAACTCTACCTTTAGGGAAGCTCTCGTATTCAGAGAAGATGAGTTGAATACAAGTTCCTGGATAATAAATCTTTACCTCTATAGCCTGAGTCATTTGAGACTCCGAACAGTATCATGAAGTAGTAGACATATTAAAAACTAAATATGTGGACTTACATATTAAATATGTAAATATGCAGAATCATGTATTAAATATGTAGACTCATATTAAAAACTAAAAGTTCGCATAAAACACAAATTCACATGTGCCAGAGACATTGTGAATAAGTACATGATTGGCGACAATACACTTTATAGTTTGTCTAATAAAGTATAGTTCCAATACTTTATTGGAGTGAGACAGGGTGTGCAATGAAGAAAACTTTGTTTAGCAGGAACCAGGAACAAACTTGTCAAGAGGGGGAGATTTTGGAAGGTTTAAATCAGAGAATGTTGAAGAACCAAAGGTCAACATGCTTGTTTAGTGAGCTGATGAGGAGGCATTCTGGCACATCCAAGAAGTATTGGGATTGGTCAGCAGAGAAGTCAGGTGGCCACACAATCAAGTCCTCAAAGAGGACAATATTACCAAAACAAAAGCAGAGGGAAGGAGAAAAATGGGAGCAAGGGAAGAAATAAACAGTAGCCAAAAAAAGGCACGAAGGAAAAGCTGTAAATTTACTAGGGTGAGCTGAGAGGCTGTTTACGGAGGCAGAAGATGAGAGTTGCTATAGCATGTTCTTCCCCATGTCTATAGGAGAGACAGCTTCTAAAACACAAGGATTCTGTGTTCGAGGTAGTGATCTGTTTTAACAATATTTTTAGGCAAAGGTAGGAAAAGAAAGGATTCCCATGCTTCACTCTCTGTTGGTGTATCAAATTTACTAGAATAGGCATTCTGGAACTTGCTGTCATAGTAGGTATGTCCTTACAGACCTAGGGCTTCACTCCTGATGATGGATTTTGTAGCTACCCCAAATAAAGTAACATGGGATTGAAATAATGAAATACGCTTGTGAACCCAAGAAGTCTAATGGTTGATTTTCTTCTGGGCTTATTGCTTGCTGGTGGTGGCTGCTTTCTATTCTCTTCCAGAGTTCTGTTGGAAGAGTGCTGTCTTTTATTTTTGACAGAATGCTGATCCAGGTCTGCCTGTATTTTTATTGTAAATTTTTGTGGCGTTGCCTGAAATTTGTAATGAGAAAACTGACTGGAAGATGTGAACTGCAACGAATCTGTTATAATACCAAGCCTGGAGCTTCTAGAACCATGAAAATTGGTAAGCATGAAACAAAGAAGTAAGCAAAATGTAGGCTTTCTGTAATTGAGGATACAGTGTTATATTTCAGTACAGTAATTGTAAATCACTTGTAAAAGATAATATTTGAATAGCTTTTAAAATTATCTCTTTTCCAGAAACATCACTGAGAGATTCAAAAAGTAAGGTAAGTAAAATTGTTTCTGTATTTTTCAGCAACTTCTCACTTGGAGGCTTACCTCCAGTCATCCAAAAGTAAAAATCTTAAGAAACAAAATATAGCTTTGGCTATGGGCTTCCCTGGTGTCTCAGACAGTAAAGAGTCTGCCTGCAATGCAGGAGACCCAGGTTCAATCCCTGGGTCAGGAATATTCCCTGGAGAAAGAAATGGCACCCCCTCCAGTATTCTTGCCTGGGAGATTCCATGGACAGAGGAGCCTGGCGGGCCACAGTCCATGTGGTCACAAAGAGTTGGATACAACTGAGCGACTGAGCACTTGAATACTAAGGCAAACTGAGAAGAAAGATTTTTTTCCCATCACAAAACACTGCTTTTTATCTGAAAACAGGCACTCATGAATTTCCAGACAGATTTATGCTGCACATATTACTTCCTTCTTGAATTCATCCCTTTTTATATCTCTTTCCAAATCATAAATATTCCATGGAAATAAGAGAAGTGTTATCTCTCTGCTAGTTCCTCAGTATCCAAATCATTTAACTTTATACTCAAGATTTTCCAAGCTACTATGCTAGCATTTATAGCACATAGTTAAGCATCCACATAAGAAAGAAAAATTTGTTTCTTAAGATTCTTGAATATTTAACTTTGACATCCTTAAGACTATATCTCCCATGTACTTCACACAGTCATAGATGTATGCTCATTAACAGTGGAAAGAAACCATGTGAGTTCAGTGAGAAAAAGAAAATATATTATTTCTATGTGAGTAACTTGAAATAGATGAAAGTGGTAAAAAAAAACCAAGCTTATGTATTTTTGTTTTATTACCTTAATCAGAAAAATACCAAATTTACTAGAATTTAAAGGCTACATCAATTTTTGTTTTTAAGCTTTAAACAAATATTTGAAGCCCCAATTTAAATAGACTCCACTTAAGATACTAGTGTTCATGACAAGTGAACTGATTTAAACTTGTTTTCTAGCTATTACAGACTTCAGTGAGTGTTCACCCTGATGCTATTGAAAAAACTATAGATGACATCATGGAACTGAAAAAAATTAACCCCGACATAAATCCACAGTAAGAATATGTTCATTATGTTATAAATATAAAACAGAAGTCACATGCCACATACTTAGTATTTCTAAATTTTCTGTTTCTAAATACTTTTTCACACACGCTTTCTCTCTCTCTCTCTCTTCTTTCTTTGCCCCAGATAATTATCTGCATGTTTTGACTTTCAGGTGAAAAATAAAGAAAAAAGATGCCTTTTTCATATTTGTAAATAGCAGCAACTTTTTTATTCTGTTGTGATTTATGTTTATGCTTTTGAGATGCAATGAATGTAAGAAATCTGATGGACACCCTTGATATCAGAAGATGAAATAAAGGGAGCCCATTCATCAACAGTCACTCCATATGATGCCTATGTTTTACATTAACATTAAATGTACAAATTGTAAGTGTGCCTGAGCTGACTCTGCTGTATGAAGAATATTTCTTCAGTTCATGACAGGTTGTTAATCTTGGAGTCAGTTACTACCTGCTTGTGAAGAAGACAGACATGTGTGGGAAGAGAGATGACTTTTATATGAAGACTTTAGAATTTTGTAATTAGTTGTCTTATCTTGGAAGTATTAAAATGCATTTGGTGATGTACATGACATTTAAAATTAGCTTTATATTTCCCACTGGGTACATGAATTTTTCTGTAAAATTTTAGTCTAAGGATATTGGGTAGAATAAATTCTGTATGCAGATACATTCAGATACAGTTTAGGTAGGTAACAGTCAAACTGTCTTTTAGATGTGCATGCTTAACTTCAGATGTTACATTCAGAGTGCACTTGGCATAGGTCTATATATTGGAGGGATTCCAGGTACTAGCTAATTGCTCATCACAAAACTCCATTTCTACATGGTATCCATAGCATTCTTCTGCAGATGCTTCAGCTAATTAGCTTCTTTCCCTTATTCAGCTTTGTTAAATGTGATTTAATTATATAGTAAATGTCTTTTTGAAACCTACTGACTTATTTCTCTGAAATGGTGGTAAGAATGCAATTCATTTAAAATTTAAGATTACAATTAGGCATGAAAGATATATTAGACCTGTAATCGTACTTAGAGATTGGGTTAGATTTAATAGCAAATCTTTTCTGTCTCCTTTATGAAAGTTATATGTTTCATTAAGAAGTGTTTCCTTACCATCTATTCTTTTGATTTCCTTTAGGAAGAAAAAACTTTTATAGGTAGTATTTAATTGCAGTTTTGGACCATGAATTTTAAATCATTATAACTGGGCTCAAACACATCTTCATTAATCAAAATAGGAACCATTACAATCAACACATTTTTGCCAATGAGAAATGTTCGTTTATTCCTGTAGCACAAACCATGCTTTGGGATTTGACAAACCCTTGGAAAGCATTTTCTGCCTCCTGCTGGTTGTGGAAGCATTTTCCTTGCAAAAAGTTGTTAAGTTGCTTGAAAAAGTAGTGGTTGAATTTTGAGAGGTCAGGTGAACATAGTGGGTAAGCAGAACGCCGTAGCCCAATTTGTTCAACTTCTGAAGTCTTGGTTGTGCAACATGTGGTTGGGTGTTGTCATGGAGAATTGGGCCCTTTCTGTTGGCCAGTACTGGTTGCAGGCATTGCAGTGTTCTGTGCAGATCTTCAGTTTGCTGAGCAGACTTCTCAGATGTAATGGTTTCGCCAGGATTCAGAAAGCTGTAGTGGATCAGATCTGCAGCAGACCACCAAACAGTGATCATGACCTTTTTTTCATGCAAGTTTGTCTGTGAGAAGTGCTTTGTAGCTTCTTGTTCAAGCCACTGAGCTGGCTGTTGCCAGTTGTCATACAAAATCCACTTTCATCGCACGTCACAGTCCAATCGAGAAAAGCTTTGTTGTTGTTACATAGAATAAAACACTTCAAAATGACAATTTTTGGTTTTTGGTCAGTTCATGAGGTACCCACGTATCGAGCTCATTCAGCTTTCCAATTTGCTTCAAATGCTGAATGACCATAAAATGGTTGACATTGAGTGCTTCGCCAACTTCTTGTGTTAAAAGGGTCGGCTTCGACAGTTGCTCTCAGTTGGTCATTATCAGCTTCCAATGGCTGACCATTGCGCTCTTCACTTCCAAGGCTCTCATCTTCTTTGCAAAACTTCTTGAACCACTACTGCACTGTACGTTCATTAGCAGTTCCTGGGCCAAATGCATTGTTGATATTGTGAATTGTCTCCGTTGCTTTACAATCCATTTAAACGCGAATAAGAAAATTGTTCAAATTTGCTTTTTGCCTAAACATCATTTCCATAGTCTCAAATAAATATAAACAGCCTCTAATAAGTCATTAGCAAAAAACATAAAGCAAGAAGTGTGCATTAAAATGATGTATAACATGACCACATTTATTTAAGACTATTCCAATATCAAATGGCAAATTTCAACAATGCAGAAATTAGGGTTAGAGTTAGAGTTAGGGTTAGGGTTTAGGGTTAGGGTTAGACCCTGAACCACTAGATTGTCTTTTACAGCCGAATAGGAATTTTAGTATTTTTTTTTCCAGTTTGACATTGACAAGATGTGATCTTTAAAAAATTAAATAATTTTCTGGAAAAAAAATCAAGAAATAGAGCTGGGGGAAATACTATGTAATCTATCAAGTCATCACTACTATTAACCTTACTTTGTTTTGTACATTTTTTCAGATGCCACTTAGGTGGTGGTAAGAATTACTACTGTAAAATTGAATTGGCTCCTTTGTTTTCTTTTTTATTTCTCCCACTCTCCTCTTTCCTCAAAATTAACTCTCCTCTCTGTCCTCTGTTGATTTTCTGGGTGATGAGTACCACTGTGCCTTTTTCCTAAATTTAAATATCAACTTCAGTTTTTTTTTAATTGAGCATTCAGTTTTATATAAGTTTAGTGTTCTGGGTTATCTGACACTGCCCTTTGTGTTTGAAATAAACATACAGTCCTAAAATAAGGTTTTCTATTGCCCTCAACTTTGAGCTAAACTCTATACATCTCTTCCTCTCAAAAAGATGGTTATGACACTGTCATTGTGATTATGATGACCCCCCATTGCAACAAAAAATGTTCAAATTTAATGAGTAAATTAGAAGTCAGAGTATATTGAACAGTAATTCTTGCCTTGAATCATATGAAATTGCTATTGTTGAATCACAAAGTTGAATGACTATAAAGAAACTAGCAGCCATCAAATGAGTACAGGAGGGTAATTTATGTAACAGTAATTTATAGAAAAACAGGATCTTGGTGATTGGTCACCTGTTCAATGAACTCATAATGTTATTTGACTGCTTAAGGAGACTCTATTTTACGTTTTGTGTTGTAGGAGAGAAAAACAGCATTCAGATCACAGGGAATAATGATCATCTCTATGTCATGCTTGCCAGATTGATTTTTGTTCCAATGATATGTTTTAAGGGGAAAATCACACAAACTGTACATTCAGAGAAGACTGAGAAAGATAGTAAAACATCTGAAAACCATGTCTCATGAGAAGGAACTGAAGAAAGTGGGGATTTGAGATAAGACCCTGGAGATGAGACTGGAATAAAGAATTCCTGTCTTAAAATTAATAGACATGGCAGGGAAATGTGGAAATAAATTTTCTCTGAGGACAGCATTTGAACCATTTTGTAATAAAGCATGTTTGGTTTCAGCTAAGAAAAAGCATTCAGACAAGTAGAGTGGTTCAAAAGGAATGGGAAATGTAAAGTTCTTTCTCTTGGCAATGCCTTATCTGTCAGGGGTGCTTGCAAGCAGAAGTGTTTTAATTTTTGTTGTTTTCATTTGTTTTGAAATTTCTCTTACCCCTAAGCCCCTGGGATGATTTCTTTCTCTCACACTAATAGCTACCCCCACACACCCTTCTGAAGAGTTTCTGATATATCTACCTAAGCGAGTAAAATGATCCCTAAGAGACTGTGACCACCTGTATTTTCTACATCTTTCAAGTCACCTGCATAAAGAGCTCCCATGTTTTTAAGCCATATTATTGCAATTTGACTTAAGAAAAAACTGGAATGAGGTAAATTTTAACTAACTTCCACAACTGTCCATGTGGAGTTTCAGTTAAAAATTGTGCTTCTATTAGATCCTATTTCATAAATATATAAATATGAAAAGCCCTATTGTACATACATCAAGTGAACAAATGTCAAAGAATATGTTTTGTTTTTCCTAATATGTATTTCTTCTGTTTTTTAACACCTTAGATTGGGAATCTCTCTTCAGGCTTGCCTTCTGCAAATTGTTGGCTACAGAAACCTTATTGCAGATGTGGAAAAACTGCGCAGAGAATCCTACGATTCTGATAATCCCCAACATGAAGAAATGCTTTTGAAGGTTAGTCCTTGAACACATTTCAGTTCTTCACTTAGGTCAGCTAATGTTTGCCAAGCCCCTGCTGTGTGATAGGCACTGGTCTGGATGTGGGGGAAACAAATGTGAACATGACAGGAACACTGAACTAAGAGGTAAAGCCTACCTTTTCTTGCTAGTTCAGATGTTGAAGGTTAATTTTTCAATAGAAAATTCATGTGAGAAGTTAAAGATAAAGCCACTTTTCATGTGTAATCTGAAAAGGCATCAGAGGTGATTTCTATGGCCTCTCACATTTGGCTCAAGTTTAGATTGTTTAGAGCTTCCTTGGTGGCCCAGATGGTAAAGAATCCTGTGCAGTGCACGAGACCTGGGTTCGATCCCTGGGTTGGGAAGATCCCCTGGAGAAGGGAATGACAACCCACTCCAGTATTCTTGCCTGGAAAATTCCATGGACATAGGAGCTTGGTGGGCTACAGTCCATGAGGTCACAAAGAGTCAAATACAGCTGAGCAACTATAATACTTTCTCTTTCACTTAGATTGTTTAACTGTGTTGAAAGCCAATAGAAATAGCATTTGTCAAAGAGTAACCTAGGATTTCCATTTATGGCTTTTAGTAGATGACAAAGAAGATAAAGTTGGTTTCTGCTTCCACGATAGCTCCCTGGGGAAATTACCCAAGATCTTAATGCTGATTATTTATTCATGTAACTTGGAGAGTATTAAAGAGTAGGTAAAAGTTTATATATGGTGTATTAAAGCTGTTTGAAGAATAATACACAGTTTTAAACACTCCTTCTTGGCTGTCAAAGCAAAATCTTAAAAATCTTATCTGATCTGATACTGTATTATGACACATCAACAAAACTTTAAAAAATCAAGACACATCTTTAGAACTATTGTTTTATAAATTCATTTCTGAAAACAGATGCTCTTTAAGTTGGAGTGCTTCTTTGTCTTTTCCTAGAATTCAAAACGGCAGTAATGAAATTGGAAGAAAACATTTGTTTAGCTACTTTAACTTATTTTATTGAAAAATGTAAATAGAAACTGTAATTTGGAAAATGTATCCTTTTGTGATTTTGTGTGTAGTATGTATTTTTGTGTATGTAAATACTTAAGCAGATGACTCTTTTATTCCTACTAATGAGTGCTAGATCTGATGTCAATCTTTAAAAGTAACAATAGTTTCATTCTTAACAATGGTTTCTTCTTTTTCTCCTCTACTTACTTTTAGCTACTTAGTAGCTGAGCTTCAGTGGCTGAGCTTCATCTCTTTGGTTGTTTTTTCCCTGTGTTATGCTGGGGATAGTCAACTTTAATTAAATGAACTCAGAGGCAGGAAATAAGAGGTGATGAAAGAGAAAAGAAGTGTTGTAGTTAACGCACTGGCCATATGCTCCTGAACAGTTCATTAAAATGACTAAAATGCCCTCTGAATCAATGACATTTGGTTACCTGATATACATCATCTTAGTTGATCTGTTGTATGTGTCCTGGCACATAGGTTTTCAGCAAAAATGAGTGAATGAATGAATTATTGAAGTCATTAGATACAGATCAAGAACTTTTATGATATGACTTTTATCTATGGTCACAATTTGAGTATGTCAGTGTTATTTTTATAGTCACAGCTATAAGAGGTAGGTGGGGGACGATTGTTTTTGTTATTTAGTAGCTAAGTCGTGTCTGACTCTTTTGTGACCATATGTACTGTAGCCTGCCAGGCTCCTCTGTCCATGGGGTTTTCCAGGCAAGAATAGTGGACTGGGTTGCCATTTCCTTCTCCAGGGGATCTTCCCAACCCAGGGATCAAGTCGTGTCTCCTCCATTGGCAGATGGATTCTTGATGATTGTTATCTTAATTTTTTTCATCATTAACTTTATTTAAAAAAAACTTTTTTTATAGAGGTACTGTTGATGTACAATATTATATTTCAGGTTATACACAATGAAATTGAAAATGAAAGTGGCTCAGTTGTGTCCAACTCTTTGTGACCCCATGGACTATACAGTCCATGGAATTCTCCGGACCAGAATGCTAGAGTGGATAGCCTTTCCCTTCTCCAGGGGATCTTCCCAACCCAGGGATTGAACCCAGGTCTCCCGTATTGCAGGAGGATTCTTTACCAACTGAACTATCAGGGAAACCCTAAATAATAATTCATTATTTTCAAAGGTTATACTCCATTTACTTATAAAATATTATATATATTTCATGTGCTATACAAAATACCCTTATAGCTTATTTTATACATAGTAGTTTGTACCTCTTAATTCCCTACTCTTATCTTGCCCCTCCATGCTTCCCTCTCCCAATGGTAACCACTAGTTTGTTCTCTATATCTGTGATACTTGTTTAATGTTTTATTTACTAGCTTATTCTTCTAGGTTCCATATGTAAGTGATATCGTGTAGTATTTTTCTTTTTCTGTTTGATTTATTTCACTTAGCATAATAGCCTCCAAGTCCATAGGGCTGAAATCCGTTGTATGTATAATACATATACCATGTCTTTATCCATTTATCTGTTGCTGGGCACTTAGTTTGCTTCCATATCCTGGCAACTGTAAATAATGCTGCTATGAACATTGCTGTATATGTATCTTTTCAAATTAGTGTTTTCAGTTTTTTTGAACATATATTCAGGAGTGGAATTGCCGAGTCATATAGTAGTCCTATTTTTAGTTTTCTGAGAAACTGCCATACTGTTCTCAGTGGATGCACCAATTTATATTACCACCAACAGTTTACAAAGGTTGTCTTTTCTCTACATCCTCACCAGCAGATTTTACTTGTGGTTTTTTGATGATAGCCATTTTGACAGAAATGAGGTGATATCTCATTGTGGTTTTGATTTGCATTTCTCTGAGGATTAATGATGTTGAGCATCTTTTAATGTATCTGTTGGTGAAATATATGCCCTCTTAGAAAAAAAAGTCTATTCAAATCTTCTGCCTATTTTTAATCATATTTTTTAAATTTTTATTGCAGTACAGTTGATTTGCAATGTTGTGTTAGTTTCTGGGGACTTCCTAGGTGGCACAAGTGGTAAAGAATCCCACTGCCAATGCAGGATACACAAGAGATGATAGCTTCTGGTGTATAGCAAAGTGATTCAGTTTCATACACACACATATGCATATACATATTCTTTTTCATATTCCTTTCCATTATGGTTTATTACAGAATAATGAACATAGTTCCCTGTGCTATACAGTAGGAATTGTTGTTTATGCGTTCTATATTTAATAGTTCGCATGTGCTAATCCCAAATTCCCAATCAATCCCTCCTTACCTACCCTCTTGGCAACCACAGATCTGTTTTCTATGTTATGAGTCTGTTTCTGTTTCGTAAATAAGTTCATTTGCATCATACTTTAGATTTCACATGTAAGTGACACCATATGGTATTTGTCTTTCTCACTTACTTCTCTTGGTATGATTATCTCTTTCTTGTTGTTCAGTCACTCAGTCATGTCTGACTCTGCGACCCCATGGACTGCAGCATGCCAGGCTTCCCTGTCCTTCACCATTTCCCAGAACTTGCTCAAATTCATGTCCATTGAGTCAGTGATACCATCCAACCATTTCCTCTGTCTTCCCCTTCTCTTCCTGCCTTCAGTCTTTCCCAGAATCAGAATCTTTTCTGGTGAGTCAGTTCTTCCCATCAGGTGGCCAAAGTATTGGAGCTTCAGCTTCAGCATCAGTCCTTCCAATGGACATTCAGGACTGATTTCCTTTAGGATTGACTGGTTTGGTCTTCTTGCTGTCCAAGGGACTTTCAAGAGTCCTCCAACACCATAGTTCGTGCAAATGGCATTATTTCATTCTTTTTTATGGCTGAGTTGTGTTCTATTTTTATCCATTCATCTGTCAATGGACAGTTATATTGCTTCTATATCTGGGCTATTGTAAATACTGCTGCTATGAACATTTGGGTACAGGTGTCTTTTCAAATTATACTTTTGTCCAGATATATGCCCAGAAATGGGATTGCTGGATCAGATGATAAGTCTATTTTTAGTCTGTTGAGGAGACGCCACACTGTTTTCCACAGTGGCTATACCGGTTTACATTCCCACCAACAGTGTAGAAGGATTCCCTTTCCCCCACACCTCTCCAGCATTTGCTATTTGTAGCCATTTTAATGATGGGCCATTCTGACTAGAGTGAAGTGATATCTCATTGTGGATTTGATTGGCATTTCTGTAATAATTAATGACGTTGAGTATTTTTTTCATATGCCTATTGGCCATCTGTATGTTTTCCTTGGAGAAATGTCTGTTTAGATCTTCTGCCCATTTTTTGGTTGGGTTGTTTGTTGTTTTGTTATTGAGTTGCATGAACAGTTTGTATATTTTGGAAACTGAGCCCTTGTTGATTACATTGTTGGCAAACATACTCTCCCAGTCCATAGACTGTCTTTCATTCTGTTTATGATTTCCTTTGCTAGGTGAAAGCTTGTAAGTTTGGTTATCCCCTGTTTGTTTATTTTTGCTTGTATTTCCATTGCCTGGGGAGGTTACTGGTGCTGGACTTTGTTTATTGAGAGGTTTTATTATTTTCTTTTGCATATTACTGATTCACTTTCATTACTTGCAATAGAACTGTTTATATTTTCTATTTCTTCCCCAGTCAGCCCTAGGATATTGCACTTTCTAGGAATTTTTCCATTTCTTCTAGGTTGTTCATTTCATTGGCATACAGTTATTTATAGAAGCTTCCTACAGTCCTTTGTGGGCTTTCCTGGTGGCTCAGATGGTAAAGAGTCTGCCTGCAGTGCGGGAGACCTGGGTTCGATCCCTGGGTCAGGCAGTCCCTTGGAGAAGGGAATGGCAACCCACTCCAGTACTCTTGCCTGGGAAATCCCATGGACGGAGGAGCCTGGCAGGCTACAGTCCATGGGGTCACAAAGAGTCGAACACAACTGAGTGACTTCACTTTCTTCACGATCCTTTATATTCTGTGGTGTCAATTGTAATTACTTGTTTTTTTCCTTGTTGAGTCTAACTAAAGGTT